GTAACAGCAGTAGCAGCAGTAACACCAGTGACACCAGTAACAGCAATAACAGCAGTGACACCAGTGACACCAGTAATACCAGTAACATCAGTAACAGCAGTAGCAGCAGTGACACCAGTGACACCAGTAACACCAGTGACACCAGTGACACCAGTAACAGCAGTAACCCCAGCGCTGCGAGCGCGCCAGGGCGATGCTCAGCCCGGGCACAGCTCGCCCACAGACCTACGTGCGTCACCAGTGTCCCCGGCTGCTGCTGGGCAGCATCTTTGCAGTGGCCAAGGTGACCTGAAGGACCGTCTCGCTCCTGCCTTTCCTGGCAGCTCGGCTCCGCTCGCGCAGGTGCTGCTGCCTCCCTTCCCTCCTCCTCCAAAACAGCAACTTTGCAGGGAACAATTTATCTTTGAACGTGGTGACTGCCAAGTGTTGCCCTGGGAAAACATCGTGCGGTTTTATGCGTCCTGCGGATCTACCAGCAGCTGCAGGACAAAGCTGCTCGCTCCTGCGCGCGCTCACCCCGTGCTAGGTCTCCTTGGCGGCTGCGGGAGGGACGTTGGCATCAAGGCCCAACGCGCTGCGGGCTCCTTCGGCTGCCCCTGGCGCGTGAGTCAACGCTGGAAAGAGCCAGAGAGGCCGGGCCAAAGGGACGGATTACTCGGAGCCTCCCCTTCCCTGGCACCCGCTGCGCGACACCGCGTTGAGCTCCCCTTCCAGGCCAAACACGGCTGGTTATGGGGCTCGGGCTTGGGGTTGGGGGAGCTCCCGTCACATGCGGACTCAGAGCTGGGTGATTCTTTTCTTCCAAACGTCCTGATTTAAAGCAGTGTTTAGAAACTCCACCTCTCCTGCACGGGCAGCAAGAACAAAAGGAAGAAGGTTGTGCTTTATTTATTCCTCTTAATGTGAAATTCATGCACTGATTGCCTCTGCTCTCTCCAGCCAGGCTTCTGGGAGGGATGAGTTTCAGTTCATGAATCTGAATTTGGGGAAGCTTCATCTTTTGAGCTTTCTGTTCAGGGAAAGTTACTTGATAGCCAGGGAGCCAAGGGGGAAAAGCA